ACCGCCCCCGGCCCACAGCACCCCGGGCCCTCCCCCGCAGCGGCTCGGGGCAGCGGACGGGTCTCACAGGGCCCTTTTCAACGCTGCACCTCAGAGCACCCGGCAAAGGAGGCCAATGCCATTATCCCCTTGCACAGGTGGGGAAACTGAGGCCCAGAGGCACTTGGCAAGGTGGCGGCTTGACTGCGGGCACAATCCTGTGCCCCAGTCCGGTGCTCGGGCAGCTAGAAGCCAGCGGGCCTGCACCAGGGTGCTGCCGCATCCTGGGGCACCTTGAGGGCCTTTCAAAGGAGTGCTAGGCACTGTGAGGTTGCAGAAGTGCTTCACGAGATAAACCCAGAGATTTCAAATAGGCATGGTCTTCTGGAGTTCTTGGCAACTGGCCTTTGCTCTGTTATTTTCCTGGATGCAAAAAGAGTGAAAACTAAGAGCTGACATTTTCTGAGTGTTGCCTTGGGTCTGTCCAGGGGCGCCTTTAGTTTCAAAAGATTAAGAACCACTGCTATAGGCTAAATCCCGCTCCTCCCAGTCACTGATGTCCCTAGGACCATAATTAGGTCCATTATTTATAGAAAGAGCGTCATTCTCAAAAGGGGCTGCTAAGTAGTTATGTCTATGTAGTAATCTTAAGAAGTGGCTGCTGCTTGCACAGACATGCTCAGGTGTAGTTCAGGTATTCATGGAAATCTAGCTGTGGAAGCACAGACTTTGGCACAGGGGTGTGCCCAGGAGCCGAACCCAAACTTCAGCTCCGGAAGCTTGTCCCGCTGCAGCAGCTCCCTTCCTTCGTATCCCTACCCACCCACACTCATTAGAGCAAAGCTAAGTTTCATCTATATTACACCCAAAGCCTATCTACAGTGCAGTCAAAGAAGTGAGATACCTGAGCTAGCTTTAAACTAGTTAGGCTTGGGTAGTGGCAGCAGTCTAGCTGCAGTGGCATGGAACCAGCATAAGATACCTTGCTTCTGTGATGGGAGGGTGCAGTATTTCATTAGTTCTCAGAAGACTAAACTGTGCGTCACCCCTAGAGAACAGAAGAGATCAAAGCCCCTTCAATGGCAAGGAAGGGAAATGTCCAGATGATCCCAGCATGTGAAGTTTGCCCCTTGCAGCAGAAAACAAGTGAACACTAAAGCAAATCTGACCTGAGAGAAAAGCTTTCTACCTGAGCCTAAACTAGTGATCAGGATCACTCTAAGCATATGAGCCAGACAAGGTTTCTGGGTACCACCTAAGGACACTAGTCCACCCAATCTAGTATCACCAATCCAGTATCCACAGTTTGATGCTTCAGGGGAAGGCAAACTCATCCTCTGCCAGTGGAATATATCTAGTCAATAAAACACTCAGAAAAATCTTTCCTGACCCCTGCAAGCCATAAAGTATGAGATTTGATTATAACCAGTAATCTAATGCAAAGCTGCAAAAATAATGCACATGCTAAGTGTATGTTAGCATGGAAAAGATTTGCAGAACTGTATTTTTTAAAGAGGCGCAGAATGAGGGAAGTAATTTGACAAGTAGGGCAAAGAGCTGCAAACATAAGCAGCAGCACTGAGAAAGGCACAGAAATGATTGGAATAAGCAAGAACATGGAGAGCCTGTGCACAGAAGAATAGGCTTGGAAGTTAATAGGTAGCTGATAGGGTAAAATTGCAGCAGAGATTCAATGCTCTATGGTACTGGGCCTTGAATATGGAATCTGGGCACTAGACATGGAAGGCAAGAAAGAATTAGCAAGGAACATGAAAAAAGAGAATGATGTAATGATGCATCAGGAGAGGAAAAAGTTTAGTAGCCAATTTTTGCGTACTCTAAAATGAGATGCAAAAAGATTGACCACAGGAGCAGAAGGGTTTGAAATTACATTCCAATTTGTTACAAAAGATATAAAACTTCACACTGTTCTTTCATTAGAGTCAAACATATATTACTTTAATCTTCAAGAAGACAAAACCAAAGAGATGATGTAACATTCCCATGCATTGTCTGAGCTACATTGATCAAACTTCATTTTTGGGTGGCCCCAGTCTTACCAGCACTCAGCATTTACCCTTCTGCTCCGTAGGTAATTCCACCTTGTATTAATTTTTCATGCTTCTTCAGAAAATTACTGAACATTTGGTAAGGTAACTTGTAAGTCAAAAAACACTTGCAGCCCTAGGGAAAACAGCATCTTCAGATTGTAATATTCATTAGGTGTGCAGAAGCCAGACAGATGACTTGCTTACTATTGGATACAAACTCCCTCAGGGATTCATCTCAGATAAACCTGTCCAAGTCCCTCTCCAGAATATACAGCAACATATACTTTTAATCCTAGGTGCATATCAAACACCTAAGCAATAGAAAAGTAACAACATAATAAGAGGGACGTAAATAAAATTACATTAAAAATATTGCTTGACATCCCCTACCCCACCCCACCCCAGCTAGTGCTAGTCACTGCAAATCTGCTGACTTAACGGGAGCTTGTGTCAGCCAAGGATCTGGTCATTATATATATAATAAAAGAATAGTCCAACTTTTCGCAAGTCTATTGACATTGTCAAAACAACAGAGACTTGGGGAATCTAGCTCAGAAAGACAATTAGGGCACTATTAAATATTAAGAAATAAATACTGAAACTGCAGAAAAAATATGAATCCTATTTTGCTTCATTTATTAGTTTACAATATTTCCCTGGGATCAAAGACTTCCTCAAGACTTGAAATATGCAAGATTTTTTCAAGCAGCCGAAGAGTAGAATGAATGCCCAAGTCACCTTTGAAAACAAAACTAAAGCTCCAGAGAACTGATCCTGACCTAAAGTTTACAGGGCTTGTGCATGGTTTGCACAAGGGTCCATAATCCCACTCTGAACTGCTGCATAATCATAAACAATAATAACAGTAATAACAGTAATTATAATACTAAGACTGGGCAGTGGCTTGGCTTACTAGGAACCCTGAAAGCTGCTGTGCCTACTTGCCTCAAGTTTCTGTTTAGGAAAAAATGGGAAATGCATCGTTCCAAGTGCAAGGCAGCGTTTACAAGACGGGGAAAGGAAATACAGGCAACCCTCACCGTTCACAGAGGATATGTTCTCATGATCCCTGCAAATGGCGAAATCTGTGAATAAGGCACTGGTGGCTGGGGGTGGGGGGCATGGCTCCAGCAGTGACAGTGGGAGTGCAGCGGCGGGAGCCCGGTGGCAGCAAGCGCAGAGCTCCCGAGGAGCTCCTGTAAGTGTGTAAAGTGTATTTAAAATGCAGGTTCAGCATTTGCAAATATTTGAAACAGCAAATGCTAAACCCGCAAATAATGAGGGTTTCCTGTATTGTTTTAGTTCTCACATTCCTTAATCTCTGGATTTTTTTTTATTAAAAAAAAATCAGTAGGTTAAATTTTTAGCCTCATTTCACGGCAACCATTGTGGCTGCAATGTTCTCACTACTTGCAAATCTTCAGCTTCCCAGATGCCAACCACAGAAATCAAACAGAGAACACTTTTATCTACTTGGGTTCCCCAGAGCCTTTGTGCTACTTTCTGATTCTGCCTCTCTTTTAGTTTGCCCTGAATGCCATGATCTCTGCACAGTACAGTGTGTTCTTATCCCCATTTACCCTGTCTTCCCAACCTCCAGCCTTGCCAACTCCCCTATTGTTTAATTTGTCTGAAAATGGCGTGTGATTTCTACTTCTACTTCTTTCTTTCTTCTTTCAGGTGTTTTGTTATATTACTGAAAGACCAAGTCATTTACAGTTTTAAGCTTCACCTCTCAGCCACCTTCCTTCCATCTTAACCTTTGTTTCCCTTGCAGCACATACAGTAATCTTCATCATTTCCAACTTCCGTATTTCCAATTTTAACATTGCCATTCCA